AGGCAGAAGAGTAGACGTTGACTGAGTTAGCACTTGAGGGCACAGTTTTGTCCCCCTTTTTCCCAGTTGACCATGACAAAAAAGGGAGTGTTCTGCATTTTGAATCAGAAAAAGAATAGAAAGCTATCCTGAATACAAGGCTTCAAGGTTCCTTGGGGGAAGTTCAGGATATAGGTGGAAGCGATACAATTCTAGCAACCTCCAACTGGTATATGCAGAACTAGTCCTGTCAGGTGCTTCAAGAAAAAGTGCTCTGGGATCAGGTACATATGAGAACTATACCATCCCTCTTGGAGACTTAAAATGCGTATCAGTGTAGGAGAGGATCTGATAAATCCTATGGGAGAGAAACCCATTTTAGTTAACTCACGATTTCCCAAATGTAATTGACCACAGAACCCTTCTGTGAGTAGATGAGTTGCTTGCGTGCATGCATGTGTGTGTGAAACTGGTAGTCTTTGATATTACTGTTCTATGAAACTCACTTTAGAATTTGTGGTTTAACTTCAATAGCAAACATTAAGCTAAATAAAAATCCACTTTTAGAGGAGGTGAAACCTAACTACTACCGTGCAAGCAGTCCAGAGTCTTACGAAGAGAACTCGCGTAGAGCTGTAGTATAGGTATAAGAGAATATTAAATTTTTATTAGGTAGTCAATGACACAGATTGAGTGCATGAAGCTACCAATTTGTGCCTAGGCCTGATATTCCTTTACAGCTTACACCAAAATGACATACATCTTTTAAAAATTAAAGTGAATTTGGAAACTGCAATTTACGTTATTTTAACAAAAACATATGGTAGAGAAAATAGTATAGTTAACAGCCATGGCCACGTACATTATCATGTCTTTAAGTTATCTCAGTTACCCATCTCTAGGGAGTCACAAGTTACGAATAAACTATCTTGTCACCTTCAAGGTGGCTTCCAGAACTATATCACAATAACCTGAAGGAAACACCCAGAGGCAAGCCAGTGCTTCTCCTCCACCTTTTTATGGAGACTCACCTGAGTTCACCCTGTAGCTCATCTATCCATCACCTGCCCACTGGTGAGACGTGGTGGAGGATAGTTCCTGCGCGCTCACTGTGCTCCTTCCTGCTCTCCTCCTGCTCTAAGATGCTAAGGGGTCCTTCCCCACTATAGCGGAGGCCTGCTCCTCTAGGATGTGCCTGCACACTCAGCCCAATTCCCTGGCAGCAATATATCATTAGGAGTTACTGGTCACCTCTCTCACAGCATTTTAGCTTCTGCTGTCTCCCACTGTCTCATCTTATTAGGCTGCTACCCTCCAATTCTCTACAGCATGGTAATGACTCTCATTTTTATGTCTCTCTATGTCCCCTCTGCCCAGCTGTCCTATGCTATTTTTCCAATATTAGATAGTCTTCCAAATTCTCCTGTTACTCTTCTAAACTAGTACTTTACTCTCTGATACCTCAACAAGTTGGGCTGTACGTGATTAGGAACACAGACTCGGTAGCCTAACTATGCAGGTTTGAATACTCCACTGCGTACCGCCTGGGGACCCAGCACAAGTTACTTAACTCCTGAGTCTCAATCTCTGCGCCTGTAAAATGGAGATCATCATAGCACCTCCTTCCTATGGTTATCGTGAAGATTAAACAAAATAAACAAAGTAAAAACTGCTTAGCATAGAGCTCAAGGCAGAAAAAGTTATGTTCGCTTTTTCGAGTATTATTTCTTCTATATTGTCTTTCATTCAAAATCTTCTAGCTTTTCTTCCTGCCCTTTATACTTCTTTTTTCCCCCAGGTATATAAATATCATACAGACGAAGCAATTAAGTTTCCCATTACATGAACTTGTCATTGTTCCACACATCACAAAATTAATAGAACTTCCTATCCTTAAAATTCATATCCATCTTTTTTACCCAGAACTATTCCCCCAACCCTCACTAGTTCATTCAGTGTTCTTCATTCTCATTAAACCATCTGTATTTTAAAATTTGCTCAAGTGTTGTAACAGACTGCTTTTAAATGAATTAAAGGTACATTCAACATACATTATGTTCAAAAGACTAGAGCAATTTAGATAGTTATAAATAAATGTTCTAATTTCTGCTCAATTCTTTTCTTTTTATAATCCAAAAAGCTAGCTCCATTTTAAGGACCCTAACTCTGTTGATTTCAGTCAATGTTATTGCCAAAGAAAGTTTCACCTCAATTTTGAGAGGCCCAAATGTACATTTGAGTTGTATAAACAGATATCTGAGCAGAGAAATATTCATTCTTTTCCTGTCTTCACTGCTCAGCAAAATTAGAGTTTATTTCCCTCTGAGATTTAAGAAAAAAAAAACCTCTTTCATTTGTTCAACTTTATTTTTTTAATAGTACTCTTTTCTGCTGCATTCAGGATATTGCTGTCAAGCTTTCTTTCACATAACCTACCCTTTATTACTCTCTTCTTGAGTCCCTACTGGCTTCATGTGAATTTCAGCATGCTTCCCTTCTGTATCAAAGCCCCTAAGACTCCTTTTAGCATATCTTGCCCTATGGCCAGGCCTGGCTTCCTCCTTGCAGCTGTCCATTGTTCGGCCCTCTGTGTCATTTACTAGGTGTTTACCACCTGCAAACAAATATCCAGAGCGTCCACCGGGTGTTACGTACTATGCTATGAATGTGGCACTGTCCACACACGGATCCTGAGTGAGAAGGGGTGTTAGAACCTGGGCAACCTTCCATACACAGACCTTCTCTTCACCTCAAGATCACTAGTAAACTGATCGATCCCCTGCATGTGTCTACTTCTCTATCAGCTGGGACTTGAACCTGTTGGACGACATGTTGAGGAGACAACCAAAAGAAAACCCAGAAGGTGGGAGCATTCTGAGACAACTGGCCCTCTTTCAAGTCACTGTCAATAAAAGGGACTGTGCCAGCTTCAAAGAAATTTAAGGGGCAAAACATCCAGGGACAGTGTGACGTTCTGGATTGGACACTGGATCAGACAAACAGCTATAAAGGACATGTTTGTTCACCTGGGGAAATCTGAATATGACCCGGGTATTAGATTAGATTCACATGTACTGAAACAGAAAAGTGGTCATCAGTGACTAAAGAACAGGTTGCAAAACAAAGTTAAAAGTCATATATAGATTTTTAAAAAATGATCTGAAAAATATGTCTTAAAGTGTTACCAGTAGTGCTACCTGGGTGGTGGAAACATGATGTTCTAAGGTAAAAAAAAAATTTTTGTTTGATTATATTTTCTAATTGTCTATAATGCCTGTATACGGCTGTGATAATAAAAGGTTATTTTTAAGAATGACTCATTTGCTCCCAGAAGGCTCATCCAAGAGATTTCACACCCACTGATTATGCCCTGACTCTCCACGATTCGGGTAAATCCCATCCCATCGTTCATGCTCAGCTATCACACTTGATCCAAGTTTTCTGGTGGTTTTTTTGTGTGGCCCTTGTCACTATTCTTTGATTTCTTCTGTAAGTCCCAAATCACACCTGGCAGAAAATTTAGTTCTTCAGTGAGTATAACACCTGTGTAATTAGCAGATCCCTGCTGCCAAGGAGGCTGACGATAGAAACAGGAAGAACGACCGTGAAAATCTCACAGACTCTTATTAGAATAAGGCTCAGTATTACACGGATTTGTACATACATAGGTGACATATTTTACCCAAGACACAGTGGCCACACTATTAAAAAGTCCTATTCAATACCACAATTAGTCTCTAAGCCTATTCATCCTATTTCCCAGTATTAGTAGGCTAATTAACATATATTATATTCACATGTATAATTAAATAAATATATATAATGTATAATTAAAGATTTTTCAAAAGTTATGCTAATCACTGGAACACAGCTTTTGTGAGGCGGCCAGGTGAGCACATATATCTTTCCTTGCATCTGATGTGATTTGAAGGTGTTCCACTTAAAACATGTCAAAAGTTACGGGTCATGAAAAGCTGTATATATTTTATCTCATTTCTAGGGAAGACTGATAAGTAGGAAGTCCAAAGGAGACATGCAAATAGATACTTATGTTAATGAGTCCTTTTTAAAACATGCTTCATAAAGAACTTGAAACTGCACAGGCAACTCCAATTCAAAGCTCTCTGTAGGCAAGATTTAAGTTTTCTAAACAGGCATTGAAATGAAACGGTACAGATAATTCATTCCCAGCTTTCCACTTCAGACCCTGAACCTCAGCTCTGGTACCAAGAAGCTGGAAACACTCTTTGCCGTACATACAAAAGGGACAGTCAATAGAAATTCACACGCTGAATTACGAGCAGAGAGCTTTTCATTCTCATTAAAAACTAGGTTTGCTTTTGCTTTGCTTTTTTCTCTTTGGCGGTATGTGTTTTCTTAATGTAAGCTGATTTCAGGTTCTCTCCAAAAATCACTGTCTCCTTAATTATTTGAGTTGGCTGAAACACTAAGTCCTCTCTTGGACCCGATATATCAAGTCCTAACTGTTCTCTAAAGTCGTGCTCACGCGTTTGGTTTCAGTAAAAACTCACGTTACTCTACACGGATAAGGCACGTTGCTTAGAATGTTTTTTACCAAAAGATCAGCTGCTACTAAATAACTTTCTGATATTAAATTATTTCAATTTGTTATATCCTGGTATATTCTGATATTCCAACAATGTTCTCAATTCACGAAGTACCTCTTCACCCCAGGGTTTAAAAGTTTCACTCAAACATAAATCCATTAATCTCCCAAACTGCCCTATGAAGTCGAAAGAGCATACTCTAACTCTGCATACAAAATACTTTCAGAATGAGCTTATAAATCAGTCGTGTTTTCAGCCATGTGCCCCAAGAACTACAACGCTACATCTCCCCAACATAGAAACAAGAAAACTCCACAGAGAGGTTGATTTTAAATAATCTCCTATAAATATTTTAAGACTGAAAACACTTTTTTCTACTCTATTAAACAGATACATTTAAAAAATAAACATGTGGTAGATATAAAGTTGCTATAAATTCTGAAAATGGCTTACCTATTAATGTAACTGAGGGCAACATAGGTTGGCTGCTGTAATTCTTGTTTTTCTAAAACACGTGGATCTGTATCTGTAATAAAAACACAATTACGATTTTTTAGCCTTTGCATCAGAATATACGAGGCTACCTAACATAAAGTAACAGAGGCTAGACAGAGAAAAAGATTAATTTAGTATAGCTCTTTTCAAAGAAAATTCAGTAGAACACAATCATTTGTTCATTCATTCATAAATAACAAGATATTGCATTACTTTTCAAGGGAATTCCAAACATCAACGGTGATAAAACGTCCATCTGTCACACAAACTCCTGCACAATCCCCCTCATAAATATTGGTTTTCACTGCTTACAGTTACAATGTTGGCATGGTTTTGGGTGGTTAATCGGCCTAAGAAAGAAAGTCTCTGTTAATTATGCTCACTTCAATGCTGGAACAAATTACTTGCCTTTGGAAAGCTCCAGCAATTTGAAAATCTACTGAGTTATTGTTCTTGTTCACTGAACACTTTTCTGGGTTTGGATTCATATTCTAGAGAGCAGCTCTTCTCCTTTCTAATCGTAGAATGAGTTTGTTATAACTTTTCTAGGCTCTTAATCAGAAATTCTCACACTGGTTCAGAATCCACAAACGCCACATTCATCCGAGGGTTTTCCCCTGTAAGAGAGAGACTTCCACACCATAGCAACCTTCCGTACTGGCGCTTTCTCCAACACAGCCCACAAAAAAGGGGCAGTTTTCATGACTAGAGAGGTATTCTCAAGCTTCTCATGTACAGAAACGATTGTGCTAAACATATGCAAAACAATGTTTATTTAATAAGACTATAAAGGGAGGAAACAGCCCATTTTTGTTTTCTTAGAAAAAGGCGCAGACATTTCACACAGATTTCATTATAACCTCATTTAAAGCCATCTCATTATTAGAACTCTTCCAGCTGCACTTGGCAATAACACCTCCTTTGATGTAATGACAGATGTTGTTCCAAGCACCTTTGTACAGGAAGTGTTTATTGCACGTGGCAGATGTAAGAGACACACACTTACTCCAAAGTACATTAACAGGTGATGGGGGTGGGGGGCGCAGACACAGTGGCATGGAGCATGTGTGGCAAAAACGATAGCCCCAAAATCAATTTACAATGCTTTCCACTCCCAGACTAGAACTGGACAGTAGTGGCAATTTTATTCTTGGTGTTAAAGTTAAGAATCTCATGTTCACTTTATTGTTTCTCCTACGCCAAGAATTTCAGGGACACACTATTCAGAAATCCAGCTTCCTGGGTCTTTGCCATTGCAGCTCCTGGAAAGCCAAGTTCTGAAACAAGAGACAAAGATTCTCTGAATGGCTCCATCCAGTCGGGTCTCAAGGTTTTGGCGGTGCAAGTGAGAACAGATCATAAACTCAGCATTTCCTCTCTCTCCTACAATGAATACAGATGCAACCGAGGCTGCTGGTACATCACTTGCCTACAGATCCAACGGGCAGTTCTTTAAACGCACTGAAACCACCCTTCAAGGGAAACTTGGCTTTCAAACACAACCCTTAGTCACACTCATCTAAGTTTGCTGTAACCCCGAGTGTATCCCTGTTTCTGAGAGGAAGGCTTTGTGCCCTTCACCGGTGCTCGCTGGAGAGGAATCAGCAGAACAATGCTCACCAGCGAAAGGTGGTTTGTCCAAAATAAGGGCCATTGGAATGCCGGGCAGGCCATGTGTGCAAATGGTGACTGACATGCCAATCCTGCAAGGTCTTTTTGGTGGTTAACAAGGTAAGAAACAAGAGATTGGAGACAAAAACTGGGAAAATGAAAAGAAAGGAGGAAGATGAGAAAGAACAAGGCAATGATTGCAAATGTCTTTGTGGAAAATTTCTTAAGTGCCCACAAAACAGTTTCACCCCAGTTTGGGGACTGATGATCAAGGGGCTTAGTTTTTGAGACGGGGGCCTTAACTTGATTCACCACAGCTCGTTCCTTCATAGAGACATCTGGAGCATGATTATATGAGGTGCGTTATTTTGGAACAAAAGAGCACCATTCTGATTCTAAAATGTGAGCATAAAGGGAAAAGAGTTAAGAGGCCAATAAACATTTTTATATCTTCCACTTTTGCCTTTACTCCTGTAACTGACGCTCAGTCTAACAGTATTCCCACAAACCATTTTCCAAAGCCTTTCTTTGTTTCCAAATTATATAATTTCTAAATATTTTAAATACTACCTCTCTAAACTAACTTGAATTTTTTTCTTTTATTAGTGCATTTACACACACACACACACACACATACACATTTGCATTATTCTTTCCTTCTTCATGCTCTAGTACTTTGGGGAAGGGGAAGAAAGTACCTTGTATAAAATTCTACAGTTCTCTGATGCTCAAATAAATGGTGTTGGCCACTGACAGTCACACAAATGGCATCTTGTAACCTTGTTTCACAAACATTCAAGAACGTTCAGCATTCTATTTGCAAAGCAAGGTTTTGAAATTTTCTCTTCTTACTTTGCTTTACCTCCTTCCATTACCTATGCTAGACTTATGCTCACATACCCTCAAATTAGTGGTGAAACAGAATTCCAGAAGCTTCCAAATGCTACCCTCACGATGACAGAAAACCACCTAGAAGCACCTCAGGCAGGATTCTCCTGTTTTTCTAGAATGCAGACGCTGGTAACCAATAAGAAAGCAGAACTTCCAGACAGACATCTACCAGGCCTAAAAAATTTTTTCACATTAAATGTTTCCTTGAGCAACCTTCAGAACATCCACTAAAGCTTCGAGTTCTTAAAATGAAATTAGGCACTTGGCACCCACAAATCAGGAGAGGCCTGCGTAAGTGCTGCTGGAGGAATAGCATTAGCTGCTGGTCACAAATAAACATCAGCTCCATCACTTGCTTCCTGGCTGACTGGTGCGTGGTGATCATGACTCACCATTTTATGGATTTAATTACTCCGCTGAGCACTTCACGTTCAGTAAAAGTATAATAGCTGCCTTCATTATTTCTCCCCCTCTGACACAAAAGTAACTGTCTGATGCTAAAAACTCTCTACAGGAAAGGATTAGAGAGACAAGAGACTAGGATTTCACAGCAGGACAATGACATACTCATGAAGACACAATGACCATTATCAGAATGAACTGGAGAGAGGAACACTATCCACTGGATATTACGGAATTCAATAAAAAGTACTTCCTTATACTATGTGCCACACCATTGAGAAATTTCTTGCACATGATAAGTTGTTACAATAAGAAAAGTGATCTGAATTGCGATGGTTATAGCACACAATCTCCCAGATATTTCTCTGGCTTGTTTGTTTACGGCGCCAGTAAAAACATGAAACTGGAACACTGGCTACCATTGCCCAGAGATATAATCCTCCTCAGTAAATGGTCTGTGGAATAGAAACATTTGAATTTTTCATAGCCACATGATGCTCCTTAAGCCGGCAACAACTTGGCAAGAAAGCAAGCATTTCTATAATGTGGTTGAAGACAGCCACATACAACAACACTCTACCACTTTAATATCACTAAGAAGTAACAGGAAGATAAACCCAAACTTTTTCAGCAGGGCAGGAGATAGCCAAAAACAGCACTGAGAGTTTATTGCTTTCTGCCTCATCCCACCCCTTGCACGCTCACAGATTCCGAGTTGACTGAAGGCTAAGAGAATTTAAATGTTAAAACGTATTTAAAAATACCCAAGCAATAAAAAACAATCAGCTTACTTCAAAGTTTCTAAAACACAGCATCCTCTGCAGTAGACGGCAATGCGTCTCTCCTCTCATTCCTATCTCGGGGTAAGAGCTTGAACGCTCAGCTCTACAGTAAGCACGAGACACAGGCACAAAGTGGACCTTTCTGTCGCTCATAGGGTCCTAGAGGCTCATGGTTTCATAGATTCAATGAAATGGCAAAGGGCTCAGTGTCACAGCACTAGTTTCCATCACTTCTCAAGCGGCGAGGAGGAAAGCAAGACAGACAGCAGAAATAAGGAAAGGACAGCATTTATACCCTTCTCAGAGGGAACTGAAATTGCAACATGACCACAGCAAGACAAACAGCACAGACCACCGCGGTCAATCAGTAAGGCCCCTGTTCATCAGCTCTGCTGTTTCTGGAGTTGGGAACCGATGGCAACCAAGTGTCTGGATTTGTGATGTACATTGAGCCTTTTGTAGTGCTATCTTCAAACCTAAGGAAAACTCGATCAAGGCTGTTTGCTGGGTTAACTGAGGCTAATTAATGAGCTTGTGGGCTTTGGCTATGCTTTAGCTGGTCTACACTGCTGGGCTTTTATGTACTACTTGGAACCACTTATAATTTTAAAAGTCAGCAACCAACCGTATTACCACTCAACAAAACTAATGAGGCCTCTACCAGCAATGAGCTATTTGTGGGCTGGGAGGCAGCAGTGAGGGAAGATGTGGTATCATGCTCCCCTGAGAAGGCCTTCTTCAAATTCTGCATCCTCCGAACGCCAGGCTCTTTTCTAACTCTGTATGGCAACAGTGGGAGGCTGGTCGGATGTGGGTGGGAAGGCAGGGGGCGATGTGCAGCACTGGAAGACCCTGGAGAGGCAAAGGCCCACCCAGAGAGACGAGTGATTTTGAAGATCTGGGCTGGATACACCACTTTTCTTTGGACTTGCTCAGTAATAATTAACGAGTGCAATCTGTTCTCAGTCTTCCCCAACAGTTGAACTCATAGAGCCACAGAGTTCTAGTTCATTCAGCATAGCCTTGCACAGCATCCCTCACCGAGCTCGTCACATCCCTCCACCTTTCTCTGCACCATTTCATTGCTAGCACTATCCCTGTACTTATGTCACCACGGAGGCGTGATCTGGGTACATCCTTTCCCCTTCCCACACTTCTCAGAAGCGAAGAACCATCTCGGCTTCTTTCATCTCTCCAGCACTCAGTTCAGTGTCTGGCACATAGACGGCACACAATATTTATTGAGTAGGTACACTAATTCATTAATTTTATGATGAAAGAATGGAAGACTCTTGGTCAAACATGGCAGATTGATCGAGGGCATTTGTTTCCGTCACCATCCAAGGCTCCACTAACTGATAAATAAAGGAATAAAAAAACTCACCAAGGATAGAAGAAAGGAAAGGGAGACATCAGCAGACAAGTGATTTCAACCAGTGTTTTGGAAGGTAGACAATCCATGCAGGAATGGAACGTGACCTAGAGCGTAGAGGAAGCTACAACCTCAAGTGCCTGCAGCAAAGGAGACCCGTGAGCCAGGAGGCGAACCCGCTGCAGAAGTCCGGGAGGCCGTGGATTTGGAGGGGCCAGGTATGGTAAAAGGGAAGGTTCAGGGCTGAAAACAGGAGGATTGTTTAAAAGGTTGATTATTCCAAAGACACTGAACCAGGAGACCAAGCATAGCAGAGGGAGAGGGAGAGAGGGAAGAGTGCAGTGCTGAAAACAGGGACATTAAAGTGGAAATATGTCTACTCCACTGCTCCTGAGAACACTGGCAGCCAGTCAGGAGGATTCCTCTCTGATTAAGTTAAGTGGGCGTAGAGAAGAGACTGCCAGATGCCGACATCTGGCAATTCCCTAATTAAATGATCTCCATACAGTTAAGTCCATGGTCGACAAGCCCCAGCCATGCCTCCATCCAGAGCCTCCCATCAGCTTTTTATTGCCTTGGTCTTAAATATGAGCCAAGTACAGTCAAGGAATGATCATTAGACATTTGAGGGAAAGTCTTGAACATGAATGGGAAATACCAAAACAA